TCCCGGAACTCAGCTCTTACCATCAGCATCACTTATTGGGCAATTAATCATGTCCTGCCTTGTGACATCTCCCTTTTGTCTTCTATCGTTAGTGAATTTTTCATATGTTTGTGTCTTGGCTCCCCGGGCGGTTCTTAGATTGCCCCGCGTGTCTGGCCTCTCCCCCCCGCCCCCGTGGCCTGTCGTACTGTGGAGATGCTCGACAAATATTTATTGGTTTGTTAATTGAAAATTTCCTCTGAAGGATGGGAGGGGTGGAAAAGATGTCATTCATGGGAGCCTCTGATACCTTTGTGATGCTAGTGAAGGAGTGGAGGTGCCAGGGGGATGGCTGGAGTTCGGGGTATCATGGGTCCTGGTTCTTCATGCTCTCCTTGGGGTCACTGGCAGAGTTGACTAAATGTGCGTTTACCAAAGGGACACTTGTACCTTAGAGAGACTAACACCACTCCAGGGCTGGGCAGGGCTGTGGGTTCCCTGGGCCGCGCTGGGGAGGCAGGCAGCCTGGGGAATCTTCCCTGCATCCTCTGGAGTTCGCTGTAGGTGAAGATGGGGACAAAGGCTTCTGTCTGGGAGGCCAGCATGGCGGCCACGTGTACCACCAGCAGGGCAACCACAGCCTTGCAGGACACCATCCTGGAGCTGGACAAGGACAAAGAGCTCCTGTCACCAAGTTCAGGGTGCAGTGACAGACTGCTACATTGGAGGCAGGAGCCCTCAGCTCTGGCCCAGGCCCTGCCTGTGGCTATGTGATCTTGAGCAAGCCGCTTAGCCTCTCTGGACTTGACCCTGCTACGAGGTTTTACTAGATGAGCTCAGAGCCCCCTCTCTTCCCCAGAGCCGTGAGAGCTAACCAAGCGCCTGGGAGAGGCCGCCCAGCCTCCTGCCACATCCTGGGGAAGAATCATTCCACTTCTTGGCCCTTCTCTTTGTTACAGGTGAGGTCTTCTGGGGTCATCTGGGCTCATGAAGTGGGAGGGACCTCATGTCTCAGAGAAGAGACTCCTAAATTATCAACAGAACTATACCCAAGACCCAGGGACCCCTTCCTGCTCCCTGAGCCAACTGGGATGATGAAAGGGATGGACCCAGGCCCAGATGGTCCAGGCTCTACTTGGAGCACCAGGCCAAGGCCCTGGTCTAGAGAGGAAAGGGCCGAGACCCTCCGCCCATGTGGAGGCAGGGCCAGGTGGACACGCTCAGTGAGGAGCAGCATCCAAGAGCTGCCAGGGGGTCTCCACCCCTCTAGGGCCAGCACTGGCTCTGACACAAGCCCCACCCCAGCTCCAGCGAGTCTAGCTGCCTGTTGGCCACCATCTAGAAACAACAGAAAGGGTACCTCCTCCCTGCAAGTCCCCCCCACCTCCAAATGCCATGAGTGCTGGTGAGGTGTGGGAGGGCCTCCCGCACCCCAGGAAGTGGGTGTGTCTGGAATGGCTGGCGGGAAGGTGGGCAGCAAAGACCTGCCAGGGCACAGGTGGGCGTGTTGACTGCAGGGGTGCAGACACTTGAGAAAGGGGGTCAGCCAGGCAGATTTTGGGCAGGCTCAGGATGGTCCTGTGTGTGTGTGTGTTGGGGGGGTGCTGCCTGCTGGGTGCCAGCCTCAGCTGGTTCCTTACACTGGTGCACGGTGTCCCATTGGAAGCCTTCTCCTGCACGATCCTCACGCCGATATGGGAGCAGGTGCGATCTGAGGAGGTGAAGGGACTCGTTCAAAGGCAGTGGGCCTTTGAGTAGGCAGAGGCAGTGGCCTACTGAGGCCTGGGGCTTCTCCCAGAACCCCATGCCATGCTGCCTTTGCCCACAGAAGGCGGAGAAGGGCATCGCAGAGGGTGGACCTGCTGAATGTATCTGGGACACCAATGTTCCTGTGCTGAGTGGACTGCTAAGCGCCGGGGCCAGGCCCCCAGAGCAGGGAGGGGAGGCCAGGGCCATCCTCTGCTGCAGCAGGAGTGGGGACGACTGCAGGGTTCCAGATAATGAGCTCCTGGGGGTCAAATCTGGGCTCCCACAGCCCTGGGGCAGCCTGGATTCCGTTGGTCAGCGAGGGTCCTGCACAGAGCTGGCCTTCAGGCTTCTCTGCAGGTCCAACCGGACTCTCCCTTTGGGCCAAATCTTCTGAGGCTTGTGTCCTGCCTCTTGGCCAGGACCTGTCTCCTCAGTCATCTGAAGCCCCTTCCACTCAGCGTGACACTCTCTGCCTTCTTGTGACCCTGCTGCCCCATCCTACTTTCTCTGTCTTGTGAAAACTCCATGAGCAAGAACAAGAGAGCTCAGACAGCCAAAGCCTCCGGTGCCAGCTGCTTACAAATTCCCAGGAGGGTGGGAAGGACCGCCCACCCACAGAAGACCACACTTGGAGGCCGTGGCCCTGTACTGAGCCCCTGTACTGAGCCCTGAGCCCCAGGAGGCTCTTGAGGGAACAGAGGGCAGATGGGGGTAGGGAGCTCCAATCCTGTTCCTCTGCTCCCTTCCCATGCTCTCCCCACGGCGTCTCCGGCCCCGTGCTCCCTCATGGCAGAGGCGGACGTGTTACATTTATGGCGTCCCATTTCCTTCATGGAGGTGCTATGGATCCCTTTTCATTCTGGTGTTCACATTTAATTCACTCCATAAGAATCAATAAAAACTTTGAATAAAGAAGGGCAAAATCCAATTGTTGCTCATTTTCTTGATCCAACTGGCAGTCGGCCTGTCACCTACATTCATTTGTGTTCGGGGAGCTTGAATGGGAGAGAGAGCTTCTCACCGTGCGGTGAGGCGCTGACTTCCTTCTCCCATCGTCAGGGCCCAGTTTCAGGGGCTCAGCTCTGCGTGAGGGGCTCCTGTCTCCTACCCCCTCCTCCCGTGGTGGTGCCAGGCCCGCATCCACTTGCCCGGCCACATCCTCTCCCTAGGGACCAGCTTTTTCCCTTAACTTCCCAGAGCAAAGCTTCCATGCTGAGCGGGGTCCTGCGTCCATGCTGAGCTCTGGCCTGGGTTCCGGGCCCCAGTCGATGACACCACCCACCCCAAACAGCCTCTCTTTTGCCAGGAGTTGCAACCCCCTGCTCCTCCCTCTGACCTCCATGCCTCGGGGCGGCTCTGCTGTTTCTCACTCTGTGTGGCTTTATCCCATACTCTGGAAATCAGCTCTCAGCTCTCAGTCTGAAGCCCAGCGAGGTGTTGGAAGGTGGCAGAGGGGCGCAGGAGCAGGTCAGCTCACTCTAGAGAGCTCTGGACTGGGCTGACTTGGCTCACGCCACCGTTCTGCCCTAGGGCTTATGCTGACCCCTCTCCACCCACTGTCTTCCTTGGCTACTCACGGCGAGAGTGTGGGCTGCGTGGGCCTGACAGAGCCTCCCTCTGCTTATCCTCTGGTGTCTAGCTGGTCTGACGGGCCTTTATACACTTCCTGTCCTCCCTTTGGAGCCCATTAACCTTTGGCCACAACTTTGGGGGCTCTGAGTGGGGAGCCTGGATTCTTGGAGCTCGTGGAAACAACAGGCAGGGCCTGCTATGCGGTGCACTTCTGGGGCTTTCCCGGAGGGCCTCTTCCTCGAGCCACCGTCCGGGTTTGGTGGACGCCAGCTCCCACCCAGATGGCACTTACTCCTGTCCACTTAGCACTCAGCTGTGCTCAGACAGTTGTTTGAACAAAAGCCCTTTCTTCCTCGTTACCTAAATATGTGATGAAGTTGAGCATCTCCAGGCCAACTCCTTAGCGATCAGATTCTCTGGCAGCCTGTCGGAGGGCTGGATTAGAAAAATGGCTTGTCTTCAGTCTTCCCCCTGGAGCCCCTCATGAAAGAAAGGGCTCAGGCGTGTGTGGCAGGGTTTCAATCAATTAATGAAAAGAAATCACAATTCAGACCCAGGGCAGTGAGCACCAGCGGCTCTGTGGGAGCCAAGGAAATGAGTAAGGTACAGAATGTTTATAGGTTGGCAGCCTCTGTGGGGAGACGGGACACCTTTCCAGGAGGTCTTTCATAGTCACTGCGTCATTCAAATGGCAAATTTAAAGATTCAAAGATGGGGGGCTGGCCCCATGGTCAAGTGGTTAAGTTCACGTGCTCCACTTCAGCAGCCCAGGGTTTCACCAGTTCGGATCCTGGGCGTGGACATGGCACCGCTCATAAGGCCACATTGAGGCGGCATCCCACATGCCACAACTAGAAGAATCCACAGCTGAAATATACAACTATGTACTTGGGGGATTTGGGGAGGAAAAGCAGAAAAAAAAAAAAAGTTTCAAAGAGGGAAGAGGTGAATGTATTCCGGAGTCAGATGGGGCTTGCTGCTGCAGCTGGCCGGGGCCATTTCCGAACATGGTGGCGCCTCTGGCACCACTCAGGGAACACTTGACACACATGTTCTAATTAAACCTCGGCCTCCCCATGAGGTGGGTGCTCTTATTTCCCCCATTTTACAGATAAGGAAACTGAGGCCAGACTAAATAGCTCCTCTGCGACCCCACTGCAAGGTCTCTTCATACAAGTGGCCAGGTGTGGCAGTAGAGGGGCTTCTGGGGTGCAGGGCCCACACAGGTGTGGAGGATGGCACAGGATGGGGTGTCACAGGAGGTCCCCTGCGTGGATTGGGAGAGGGTCAGTCTGGGGCCTTAGAAACTGAGCAGAAGTGTTTAGATTTGCTGGCGGAGGAAATCAGGAGTCTTCACGGTGCTTTGAAGGGGATGACATGACAAAAGCGTCACTTGGGGAGATCACTCGGAGGAGGGGTGCAGGCGTTCAAGCAGGGAGAGGTGAGGCTGGGAGACCAGTGGGGAGGTGACTGGGGCAGACCGGTGTGAAGTCCCAAGGGTCTGGGTGGGCAGAAGCCATTTCCCCAGGTGAACCTCATTGGCCATTAGTGCCTTCCGGAGAGAATGCCCCAAACATCGGGATGGGGACCACCTCTTGTCCAGGTACCCGTACCCTGTCATCCTTTGGTCTGCTCTGGCTTTTCCCCTCAGAAAGAAACAAATGTTTACAGTGCTTCAAACCCAACCCAGACTACCTCCGACCGCCTGCTCGGCAAGGCTTCCTACCAGCGGGGTCTCTGTTCTGCTCCCGATGTGAGGTTGGAACTCCACCAGCAAGCTGGACTGAAGGCTGCTGGACTTGCACGTTGGGTCTCCACAAGCTTTGAGATTTATCTCAGAGGAATTAGAGCTCAAAACGTCAGGGCTCGGAACTGAGTTGCCATCCTTGGCCTTGGCCTGATCAGAGTGTCACCACCACCAGTTCAAGAGGAGCTTTTAAGACAAGATAAGACGCCTTGGCAGGGGGCAAAGTAGCATGAGAGCCATGAAGGAGCCCCCCAGGTTTCCAGGCTCAGGGAGGCCCCGGGGAGGCTCCTCCTGCACCACGGGGGGAGCTCCTATGGCGGGACATGTTGGCATTTCCATGTCCGATGCCTGGACCAGGGGGCGGCCAAAAATGGGCCCTATCCAGCCCGCCACCCCTTTTTACATAGCCTGTGAGCTACGGGTAATTTTTACATGTTTTAATAATTAAAAAAATAAAAAGAAGAATAATATTTAGTGACATGTGAATTTATGTGAAATTCAAATTTCCACATCCACAAATACAGTTTTATTGGAACACAGCCACTCTCATTCATACGTGTATGGTCTGTGGCTGCTCTTGGGCTACAG